TCTCAAAATAAAACATTAAAAAAAAAAAAAAAAAAGCCCAAACTGGTCTTTGTTCCTGCTAATGTAAACATTTGATGGACTGAGCAAGGGAGACAGGTAAATAATAAGGTGTGATATCCATGATCAGAAGAAAGTTACTCTGCCTTTTTCCCTGGTGAGTTACGTGGGCCGCAGAAAATCTCTACAGAAGCTCAAAGACTATCCCTTGTCAGGGTGAAAACAATAGCTGAAGATTTTTCCTGTTACATTGAAAACAGACCTGCCCCTGGACTTCTCCTGGATGACATACCAAGCTAGTATTACAACCAAACTCTGTGTTTGATGCTGAAAATGGCATTTTCTTTTTCTTTTTCTTTTTTTTTTTGGAAAATGGCATTTTTAAACTTGGCAAGGAGATTAAAAATAACTCTAGCGGGGTGCCTGGGTGGCGCAGTCGGTTAAGCGTCCGACTTCAGCCAGGTCACGACCTCGCGGTCCGTGAGTTCGAGCCCCGCATCAGGCTCTGGGCTGATGGCTCAGAGCCTGGAGCCTGTTTCACATTCTGTGTCTCCCTCTCTCTCTGCCCCTCCCCCGTTCATGCTCTGTCTCTCTCTGTCCCAAAAATAAATAAACGTTGGAAAAAAAAAATTAAAAAAAAAAATAACTCTAGCATAAAAGTTTGCCAAATCACCAAACAGGTTTACATACCAGCTGTCCCTCTTGTTAGATTGCCCAATACCACACACTATATTTGGGTGGATCAGAATTGCAGATTTCTTTGGCTCGATGACAGCAGTAAGCTTTATAGCTGCCAGAACCAAACTATAGACCTCCTACATCACTATTTCACAACCTGTTCTGCTCTCATAGACTGACAGGAAAAATAGAGATGTATGGATATTAACATTATCAATGGCAAAGCTCATGGAATACTCCAGACTTTAAAAATTACAGGTTTCAGGGTGCCTGGGTGGCTCAGTGGGTTGAGCATCCGACTTCAGCTCAGGTCATGATCTCATGGTTCATGGGTTCAAGCCTCGCATCGGGCTCTGCTCTGACAGCTTAGAACCTGGAGCGTGCTTCAGATTCTGTGTCTCCCTCTCTCTCTGCCCCTCCCCCTCTCAAAAATAAATAAACATTAAAAAAAGAAACTACAGGTTTCAAGGGTGCCTGGGTGGGTTGAGTGTCCCACTCTTGATTTGGGCTTAGGTCATGATCCCAGGGTCATGGGATCAAGTTCCGGGTCAGGCTCTGCACTGAGTGTGGAGCCTGCTTAAAATTCTCTCTCCTTCTCCTCCGGCCCCTCTCCCCTTCTTGCACTTGTTAGCTTTCTATTTCTTAAAAAAAAAAAAAAAAAAAATTACAGGTTTCAACCTAACCTTGTCTGTAAATCATACCCCTCTTTTTTATTTTTAAGTTTATTTATTTATTTTGAGAGCGAGAAAGAACACAAGCAGGGAAGGGGCAGAGAGAGAGGGAGAGAGAGATTCCCCAGCAGGCCCCACCCAAACTGTCACTATGGAGCCAGAAGCGGGGCTTAATCCTATAAACCCTGAGTGTTGACCTGAGCGGAAATCAAGAGTCTGATGCTGAACTGACTGAGCCATCCAGGTGCCCCAGTCATAACCCCTTTTTATCTTATGTAGCAACAAAGTACATAAAGGGTTCCCACCTAAGTTTTCAGGACAATGTGGGTTCAGACCTGCCTCCTTCTGTCACTAAATACTCCACCTTACATGCCAAATTATAAACTTGGGTTCCTTTGTTCATAAAATTATGTCACACAAACACGCCTCTCAAAAAAATCATAGAAATTCTGCTTGCATATCTCAAGTCCACCTTCTTTTCAGCTTTAAGGGTTTTTATTCCCAAATCTTGGAGATTATGAATTAGAAAAGGCAATCCTAAATCTCTCTGTAGTGGAATAGTTCAATACCACTATGCAAACTTTGAAAACACTCCGTCAGAAGTTAACAGCTTAGCCTCTTTGGTACTGCAAAATCGTCATGCCCTACATACACTGGCAGCTCAGCAAGGAGGAACTCCCTGGTGAAAAATGTTGCATCTGTGTAAACCAAAGGGGACAAATAATACCTAACTTAAATCTGTCATAATAAAGGATTAATATTTGTCATCAGATAAATGAAACAGTAATATTTACTGGACGGATCTATTTCTGGGGTTGGGAGGCTGGCTTAATGGGGTGTGGGGAAATGCGCTCTGATTTGTTCTTCTGTTTGCTTCCTCATTCTAATCTACATGCTTTTTTCTCTTTGCAGATCTCCTACCGCTCACTAGCTCAGTTTCTCTCTCCACAGTCACCAGCTCAGCTTTTCATATTGAAACTCCCAGGGAAGTTTCAGAGGGAACTGGAGAGGCCCAGGGCAGGCTGCCCCCAAAATGTGCCACATGGCATATTGGTTATTTTGAATTGAAGTTACTTGGAAAAAGCACAAACACATGGAGGCTAAACAACATGTTACTAAGCACAACATGTTACTAAGTAACCAATGGTTACATGAGGCTACTTGGGAAATAGCCAGTGTAAGGACACAGACCTTCCTCTGTCCCCCACCCCCACCACCCCCTAGGCAGGAAATAAACCTTCCTTATGAAAGTTACCTTCCCTGTACTAAGAAGTAAAAAGACAACCTTATCACCAGAGATAGAGACTTTAAAGCTGAGAAAGTTGTAGAAACAAACCTTGTCACTTTTATTTTAAGTTTATTTAGACAGGGTGGAGGGGCAGATAGAGAGGGAGAGAGAAAATCCCAAGCAGGTTCCCCACTGCCAGGGCAGAGCCTAATGTGGGGCTCAAACCCACGAACTGTGAAATTATGACCTGAGCCAATATCAAGAATCAGAAGTTTAACCAACTGAGCCACCCAGGCAAACCTTGTTACTTTTTACTAATCTACAACCTCAGCCCAAATTCTTAGAATTCCTAATTAAAACTCTCAAACATTTATTTTCTTTATCCTGTTAATTCCTCACAAATTTATTGTCTTTTTGTCTAAAATGTATAAAAACTGCGAGTCTTGGTCATTTCTTTGGATCTTGATTTCATTATTGGGTCTCCATATGCGCCTAATGAATTGGGTTTTTCTCCTGTTAATCTGTCTCATGTCAATTTAATTCCTAAACCAGCTGGAAAAACCTGGCAGGGAAGGACATTTTTTTCCTTCCCTAAAACTGCTTCCCCTAAGATATTTTTACCAATCGTCGGGTTAATAGATCCCTGAAAAACTCTAATGTTCTCTCCAGCTTCTGGACAGTAAGCCTTTGACCAAAAAGTAAAATGTTGATACCATTTTTAATGTGTTTTCATAGAATCACTCTCTGGATATTGAGTGGAAGTTTGGTGGTGAAGATACTTTGCAGAAAAAAAAAAATATTTTAATAAACAGCTGAGTTAGTTTCTGGGAGAACAAAGTTGCTAAAATAAATCTCAAGATTCCCGCTGGGCCTTTGTACTTCCACACAAGTCAATGTTCAGCTGAATCCCTCCACGTGCTCAGGTGGAAAGCAGCAGAGTTGCCAACAGTGGTTGAAGGAGCTGAATAATACTATGCATAACCTTTAAGATTTTGGAGTTTCTATCCTAGTGATTGCTGGAGCTATACATGCATACATATTTTATGGATAAACTACCCAGGAAAAAGTAATTTTGTTTCATCTAAGACATACCAAAGTACTGGGGATGGATATAGGGGGAAGTAGCAGTGGAGAGGAGGGACAGCAGTGGCGATTTTCAGCACAGATTGCAACTTTTGTAGCTCTACGGCATTAACCAATATAAGAAATTGTCTAGTCTTATATTCACTATAGGCAGTTCCTGACTTTCAACAGTTCAACTTATGATTTTTCTACTTTACAATGCAGCAAAAGCGATATCCATTCAGTGGAAATTATACCTTGCATATTGATGTTTTCCCAAGCAAGATGCAACGTGGTACAACATTCTTTCGTGATGCTGTGTATCAGCAGCTCCAACTCCAAGTCTGCCACATAATCACCAGGGTAAACAACCGATGTACTTACAACCATCCTGTTTTTCACTTTCAGTACAGTATTCAATAAAGTGCACGTTCTTATAAAATTGGCTTTGTGTTAGAGGATTTTGCCCAACTGTAGACTAATGGAAGTGTTCTGAGCACATTCAAGGTCCACTAGGCTAGGTTACGACGCTGAATAAGTTAACCGTATTAAATGCGTTTTCAACTTACCATATCCAGAGGTGCCCCATCGTCTAAGTCGAGGAAGACGGAGCAGAAGAGGAAAGGATGGAGCAGCCAAACTGTGAGGCTGAGAAGACAGTTAAAGTCAGTCAGTCAAGGAGAGGGACCCTTTGAGTACTTTGCTGACCATGCCCGAAGACTTGTCACCTAAGACTGGAAGTTGGGTTGCCAATCATCTTCTGGGTCTGCAGTCGCTGACAACATTTAGGGCCACATTCCCCCTTGTTCATTGGTATTTTTGTACCACTGCTTGTCAAGGGTCAGATCCTGAAGCTCTCTGGGTCTTGGCTCCTTCACCTGTAAAATGTGGGGTTTGCATCACAGAGGAGAGTTTCTGGAAAGCGCTCGGACAGCCAGCACACAGGTGTGGGAAGCGAAGCGCGGCCCAGCCCTTCAGCCTTTTGGCTGAGGCTGGGGAGGCACAGATAGCAGGAAGGTGGGGTGTGCTCCGAGAGAGCGTGGGAAGGGGGCGCACCAGTAAGCGAGGGCGCCTTAGGGGCCCGGGCGCCACGGCCACCTACGGGCTTCCTCGCTGCAGGGCGGGCCGGGGACTGAAGAAGCCTAGGCTCCTCCCGCACCCACGGCTTCCCGCCGGCAGACCTGCGCACGCCCTCCCCGCCCCACCGCTCGCCGGCACCGCCCCGGCGCACGGAGGCTGGACTTTAGCACGGGGGCGGACCCCAATCCCGCTCCCGCCTCTCTCCCCGCCTCCCTCCCTGGGTCCCGCCCCGCGGCGCAGGGGGCCGGGCTCCGGCGAGGGGGGCGGTGGCCGCGGCGGTGACAGCCGCTCCCCGCCCCCGAGGGTCGCCACGTCCCTCACGTACCGCCCGGCCGAGGCGCTGAGCGGCGACCTGGCTACCCCAGCTCCTGCTCCTCCGGCGGGGCTCGGCATGAGGCTGGCGCGGCTGCTTTGCGGAGCCGCCTCGGCCGGCCCGGGCTCCGGGCTGCGCGCGGCCAGCCCCGGCGCCAGCCGCAGCTTCACCTCGGACTCGGCCTCCGGGCCGGCGCCCGAAAGCGGCGTTCCGGGCCAGGTGGACTTCTACGCGCGCTTCTCGCCGTCCCCGCTCTCTATGAAGCAGTTCCTGGACTTCGGTGAGTGCGGCCCGGGCCTAGGGCCTTTGTGCGCGGCCCTGCTCGGGGAAATGCGGCCCCTGACCCGGGACGGGCCCGGCCCTCGCTGGCCCCCTCTCACCTCTGGCGCACCCCTCCTTCTTAACGTCTCCTCCCCCAACGCTGTAGGTGTTTCCTTCCTCCCTTGCGGACAGATCCCCAAGCTCAGGTGCACGCGCTGGCGGGCGGGATAAATAACCGGGGGCGTGTGCCTTTTTATTGTGTATTGTTGAAAAACAAACCTGGAGGGCCGCGGGCGGAATGACCTCCCGCCTTTCAGCGCACGTGCAGAGCCGCGCTCTCTGCCAGGCGCCTTCCGAAGAGTAGAGCTCCGGCTGGAGGCAAGTGTGCTGCACACTCCCGGGAGTCGTGTTCGGATTCTGCACAGTGATGATAAATGCTCAGTTTTGTAGACGATGATTGCATAAAATTGGCGCGATGATAGGGGAAGCAAGTTATAACTGGCCCAATTGTTTCATAGAATGTTTTCCTTGCCACTTGCTTAATAGTGTTTCCACCAACAGCACATTCATTTCATCATCAGCAAGTAAGTGTTGAGCACACGTAAAGTGCGTGAGCACTAGACGTGGGGATTGCCACATTTCACCCTGTAGAGGCGACTGTCCACTTTCCTCGTCTTCCGGTGGGTCCTTCCTGGTTTTCTAGATCTAGAAAGGATGCAACAGATTGCAGAGAAATTGCAAAGTTAGACTTATAACTTTGACTTCTCATACGGAGGCGTGGAGGGGAAAGGGAAAACTAATAAACTCGAATAAAGTCATAACATGTCAGTAGAAAAAGTTATCTTCTGCATGGTGAGTACTGTTAAGTCAGTAATGGATCTCTGGTGGGCTCAAAAGATATCAGCTTAGCTGGCAGCTTTATCTTAAAATTGTGGTGTACAGAGGCGAACTCTTTTTGGCGCAAAGCCCTCGGTTTTCTTTGTTGTTACTTTAAAATGACTGTAGTGTGATTAAGGGGTGAATTTGGCCTTGTTCACAGTATGCCATTAAACTTTCACAAGAAAGTGTTTTCCTTTAATTCGGTAATTACTGCTAGGAACAATCTAGTTTTGGCTAAGGCTGCCTTTCTAAAACAGCAAGATGACATTCGTGAGTTCAGAATGCATTGCTGAAATAACATGATTTTTTAGTTTAACTTTCAATAGAACTGCTTGTCAAAGGACATTCTACAACTGTTCTGCTTAGTAGCTTGGTACAGGAGTGGAGGAAGAGCAGGATGCTTACCAGGAATCAGACTACTGAATAAGACCTGGGGGTGGGGGTGAGGGGAGGGGGAGCTTGAAGATGGTTGCTGAACAGGTATTGGTATTTTTTGCTTTCTGTTGCCTGAAATCCCTCCTGAACATCAGCTCTTTGCTTATCGAGGTTCCCACGCACATGACCAAATTTCTCTGTTTATATTGGACAGGTATTCATTTCTTACAAACCTGGAGTTAGGAAACAGATTTTCTAAATAATAGCATCCAGTTAATAGGCTTTGGCAGGTCCTGCTGTTAATTAGACTCTGCACTTTGTTCAGACTTGCTCAGGTTACCTTGGTGCTAAGAAAATCACAGGAAGGATGCAAGTGATGGAGAGGGGAGAGTATCTTCACTGCTCTACAAAGCGATTGGAATGTCACGACTTAGGTCATTTAGGATGCCTCACAACCCTGCTGACTGGGTTATCTCATCCCTTTCGTCCTCATTCCCTGTCATGAAGGTGATGCTACTACCACTCTGACGTTGCCAAGTAACTCCCTCTGCGTTTCTCCCTGCCTCTTGGCTTCTACTGCCTTATGGGCTCTACTTACTGCTGTTCCCACCTTGTTTCATTTTAGGATCTATGAATGCTTGTGAAAAGACCTCATTTATGTTTCTGCGGCAAGAGCTGCCTGTTAGATTGGCAAATATAATGAAGGAAATAAGTCTACTTCCAGATAATCTTCTCAGGACTCCATCAGTTCAGTTAGTACAAAGCTGGTAAGATTCCCATCTTGTGTTTGCAATTTCAATGGACTTACGGACTTTACTCAAGGTGAAAGCAAATACTCTTTTACTCTTCAGTGGATTCTTACGGTAGTAAGAGCATTCCTCCACCTCTTTTTGGGTGTGTCTGGGCTTGTCCCCTGAATCCTGGACTCTACCACTCCTTGACTTTGAGAAAACAAACAAACAGCCAATCAGAACTGCACAGAAATACACACACTAAATTTAAGATTTCTGATATTAAATCTGTAGGGATGTTATGTTATAATAAAAAATATCTACAAAAAATATATGTCTACCATTTGTTGATGGCTAGGGATTTATAGGCATTACCTTTAATCCCTTTGACAACTCTGCCCATTAGGCATTATTATCATCATTTACAGATGAGGAAATTGAAGCACCTACTGGCCTTTTGCCAAAGGTGGTACCATTCATAGTGGAGGTAGGATTCAAGCCCAGATTTGTTTCTTTCTACTATACCATGCTCTGGTCAGAATGATAAAATGTATTAAAGTGTATATATATTTTTGAATAAACTAAATTTATTTTACTGTAGTATATCTTTGTCAAACACAAAAGTTAAAATCTTTATTCTCCCATTTTAAAGTAATTACAAATTAGTGGAATCATATAAGAAACTACGCTGTCTTCCAAAATATGACAGTAGAGGTATTAAGGGTATGAACGTATACGTGGCCATTTAAATACAGCCTTTCTTGAAAAATAAGATAAAAACAGAGAGGGAGGCAAACCATAAGAGAGTCTTAAATATGGGGAACAAACTGGGGGTTGCTGCTGGGTGTGGGGGGGGATGGGCTAAATGGATGAGGGACATTAAGGAGGGCACTTGTTGGGATGAGCACTGGGTGTTATATGTAAGTGATGAATCACTGAATTCTACTCCTGACACCATTATTACACTGTATGTTAACTAACTTGGATTTAAATTAAAAAATAAATAAATACGGCCTTTCTTGTTAATGTTATTAATTTAAAAGTGTAATTCTTTTAAGCACTATACATTTCAAACAAAAGAATTTGCCAGAGTTCAGTCTTAAATGGAAACTAAAAATTAGCTGCAAGATTTTTCCCAGTTCTGATTCATGGAGATCTTAGCACTTTTTTGTAGCCATTATAGTTTGTAGGAGAAGCTGATCTAACTTCAACTTTAAAAAACAAGCAAAAGAAGTATGACTGCTATAATATGTGATAATGAGATGCTATCTGGTTCAAGTATGGAACAATTATGAGCGTGGTTTAAAGAAGAGGCATTTGTTTAGGAACTCTGATGGAATCTAAAGGAGAACATATAATTTTCTACGGAAGCTTATTTCTGTTTTTTAAAATTCTTCACTGAAAATAGAATATGCTGCATCTTGAAATCTGTTCTGTGCCTAACATGTTGTCAGTGCTCAACCGTCTCTTGAATTAAGAGCGTAGTTTTTCTTGCCAGGGAAGAGAAAAGTAAGGGGTAAAGCAAACGTCAGAATCACTTGACTTTGGAATGCTTTGGACTGAAGAGAGGCACACACTGCTTGTGTTGATTTCCAAATCAACATATGGATTTACAGATTTTTCAAACACTTTCATTGCCCCTGGATGCCTACTAAAGACAGTTGTAGATAACAGTGCCCACAGACCAGCCAAAGCAGAGCCTATATAATTGAAAGTCATTGAATAGCAGTGAGGTGTTTTCAGCTCCGGCCCTGTACTGCCATTATGCTTGGCCGCATGACCTTGACAAAGTCATTTGGCTTTCCTCATTTTGTTCCTTCCTTAACGGGTGATTTGCTACCTTGAATTGTTAGATAAATTAAAAACCTACATTTGTATGACTTTTGTTTTTGTTCAGCTCTGTTTAAAAGAACTATGTGGTAAGTTATAGGCTTTTAACAAATACTTGTTGATGGTACACAAACTATTAACCTGGAGAGTGCATGCTTCTGAAGGACAGACAGCCACCTTCAGCTCCAGCTGGTCATTGCCACTGTGGAAGTACCATCCACATCATCTGGCTTTTGTTTGTTTAAAGAAAAGCCACAAGTCTAGATTTTTAATGTAGAATCTCCCAATTTTGAAAGATTGCAACTAATTAAAAATTTTGTAAAGCACCAAAGCCCTAAGAAGGTCTGTAGGGTTTTAAAACACAGGTTTTAAGCTAGACTCATAGACTGAGGTAGGTGTTCCTCCACATTTCGCTGAGACTAAGACAAATTAAGTCATTTCCCTCAGATCACATAGTCACTGGTAACAGACGCGATTTTCATGACAATCAGCATTTCTACTGTATAGTGGTAAATTTAAGAAATTGAAAAGCTATTTTAGAGTATAGAACTTAAGAATAAAAGAAGTAGGAAATCTTAAAACTCTAAAATGTAACCTATGTTCTTAGGAGAAAATGTGCACCTTCTATTACTTTATGCCAGGCACTTTGCTCAAAGGTGGATGGGTATAAAAATCCTACTTCAACCATAATTCATAGCACTATTCTAAATTAAAAATTAAGAGATGGGTAAAAATACCTTTTGAGTATTTTCATAATGTTGAAATTTCAAATTGTGAAAAAACAAATTTACCCTACTGGTTTGCATTTTAGGTATATTCAGAGTCTTCAGGAGCTTCTTGAATTTAAAGACAAAAGTGCTGAAGATGCTAAAACTATTTATGAGTAAGTACATGATTTTGACCCTATTTGGAACACAATTTAAAAAAAAAATTTTTTTTAACATTTATTCATTTTTGAGAGTGAGAGAGAACATGAGCTGGGGAGGGGCAGAGAGAGAGAGAGGGAGACACAGAATCCGAAGCAGGCTCCCGGCTCTGAGCTGTCAGCACAGAGCCCAACCCGGGGCTCAAACTCACGGACAGTGAGATCATGACCTGAGCTGAAGTCGGACGCTCTTAAACATCATGTAAAAAATATAAATGTATTGAACTTAAACTTGCTATTGGGTCATTTTAGGGAAATTAACTTTTAGTTTCTCACCACTCGAGAACATACAGTAGTACATGTGTCTATAGCAGCTCATACAAGTAAGACAAATATTGTAAAACAGTGAATATAAGAAAAGACAGTTCAAGTCTGATGATTAGGGAAAATCCAGAAATGGCCTTGGTGCCATTTGGATGATAGGGGACTGGTGAGAGGACTCTTTATCTGGAGAGCTCAGGTGAACATTCAGCTCCAGCCAGTCATTACCAATGCAGAGACATTATTCAGATTGTCTGATTTTTTTGTGTGTTAAAAGCAGTAACTTTAGATTTTTAGTGTAAAATCTCCCCCAATTTTGAAGATTGCAACTAATTTTAAAAAGTTGTTTTAACACCGAAGGCCTACAAACACACCTCTGTGGTCTCACTTTCTGACCTCTGTAAGATGATGAAAGTAATGACAAATGTAATAACCAGTGTACCAGAATTGATAAACCCAGGTAGTCCCCTCAGGCAGTTATCTGCTTATTCCGATGAATGTTGCTCAGAACTTCAAGCCCACCTCTTTTGTTGTCCCCAGAGTCTATTGCACATTTTTTTTTAACTGTCTTTAAACATGATGGCAACATTTCACCTTTTAAACATAATTGGGTCTGAAAATAACATCGAGGATTTACTCTCTACCTAGGTATGAAGCACACTGTATATTTAATCTTTAGAACAGTGCTCTTGAGTTAATGCTATCTGTGCACAAAGAGGTTAAGTAACTTAAGGTAGCATTAAAATTACATAGCCAACTAGTGTGATGGGATCAGGATTTGAACCTAAGCACTTGCACTTAAAAATAAATGTACGCTATAGAACCTTCTGAAAATAGCTAGTCAGAGCTGAATCTAAAAAATAAGGTGAGCAATCAAGCAGAATAATCCTGTCTTGGGTTTTAAAAGAGAGAGGTAGGGGCGCCTGGGTGGCGCAGTCGGTTGAGCGTCCGACTTCAGCCAGGTCACGATCTCGCGGTCGGTGAGTTCGAGCCCTGCGTCAGGCTCTGGGCTGATGGCTCAGAGCCTGGAGCCTGTTTCCGATTCTGTGTCTCCCTCTCTCTCTGCCCCTCCCCCGTTCATGCTCTGTCTCTCTCTGTCCCAAAAATAAATAAATGTTGAAAAAAAAAAAATTTTAAAGAGAGAGGTGAACTAAAGGGGTGATGAGGAATGATGAGTGTTTGTTGTTTTTGAGTAGTTTTGTTGTTTGTATTTTGGATTAACAGTTTGGTTTTGAAGCAGATTACAAACTAGGAATTCCAAAAATATTTTCAGCGATGAGAGCATCACTGGAATAAGTTGATAGTACTCAAGATGATGACTTTGAATGGGAAAGCACTCATTCAGAAGTGTAAATTCTGATGGGTATGTTACAAGATGGATTTTATTTCATAATTAAGACTTCTTTGCTCTTTTATCTAGATCTTTAAATTAACCATGCAATAAATGCCTTCTAAATGACAGAAGTGGGAAGGCTGGATGACTTGAAAATTTTTCTTTTAACACAACAGTTGACTCTTTCTCTCCCATTTTTAAACTTCTAGGATCAGCGACATTAAAATTCCTTTTACTTTTCTGTTCTCAGTAGTTCTTTCTCTCTTGGAACCATAGGGAATAGTTCCAAAACAGACAGGCTTTATTGGCTTATTCATCTTCATTCCTCACAGAGCTGTGTTCACTAGAAGCAAGCACTCTCTGTCTTCTCTTATGCTGAACGTCCGTGGAATACTGTCCTCGTAGGGAATGCTCAAACGATCTTAGTTGATGATGGTTAAAGCAGACCCTTAACATTTTTAGGATTGTGTTTTGTGGCAGCCTTACTTTTAGGAGTTCCAAGAAAATAATTAAGCTTCAAAAGTTTTATTTTGGAGGTCTTTATATTCTATATTCTATATATTGATGATCTGAAATACAGTTAAATAAGCAGAAGAAAACATGCACTGATGCTTTTTTACTCAAGTAGGGATTTCTTGCCTAGAAAAGGTTGGTTAAACGTAGATTTTAGTATTAAATTCACTTGTCAAAATATTTGGCTGTTTTGACGGACAGGTTTGTTTAGCTTTACAGATACTGTGATTCGGATCAGGAACCGACACAATGATGTTATTCCTACGATGGCCCAGGGAGTGATTGAATACAAGGAGAGCTTCGGGGTGGATCCCGTCACCAGCCAGAATGTTCAGTACTTTTTGGATCGCTTCTACATGAGTCGCATTTCAATTAGAATGCTACTCAATCAGCACTGTAAGTATCTAGAGGTCAGGAGAAGAAGCAAAATAAAATGAATGTGTTGGTATATTTTAAGTTTATTTAGAAAACTTCCCTTTAATAAACATTTAATTTTGCTTTTTTGTGTGTATTAAGTAAATAGACTGTCATGCAAAGGAGGTATTCTCATTGAATGTAAAATACTACGTTTAAAAAAAGTGTCTGTTCTACTGTTTGGCACCATTCAGAGACACAGTATTCAAATCAGGAAAAGGGCATTAGAGGGTTTAGCTTATTTTGTTTGTTTGTTTGATAGCTTTATTGTTTGGTGGAAAAGGCAAAGGAAGCCCGTCGCATCGAAAACACATTGGAAGCATAAATCCAAACTGCAATGTAGTTGAAGTTATTAAAGGTAAATGCTTACATTTCTCCTTTCATGAGGGATGCAAAAATCAAAATTATTGAGTGTTAATTCATGCCAATAAAACAATTACTTATATCTTGAGATAAAACATTAGGAACAAATGCAAGGATTTGAGAATAATTTTATGATGTTAATTGTACATTATGTATAGGATGAATATTTTGTTGATCCAATTCTTTGTTAGGCAAAGTATGGTGATACTGTGAGGGCACCTGTTTCACTTCAAAAAGATTCAAGCTCCACCTCCCCCCGCTTTCTAATTCCCTGTACTAGGAGCCATAGTCTGTGATAGTTTGGTTTGCATTTTTCCACACTTTTTTCTGTTTATACCACATATACTCATATATGTATATATGTCATTGTTGTTCTTACATTGTTTGCTTTGGGAAAATGGATGCTGTATGTATATTTTTCTATAAGCTTAGAGCCATCACACCACATTCAGTACATATGGAAATACCTTAGGTTTTTGAGTGGCTTAATGGGTATTTCAGAATGTATTAATCCATCCTTCTATTGATGCATATTTAGGTTTTAATTTTTTTTTAACCAGTAATACTGAAGTGAACATCTTTAGACATGTGCTGACTTTACTAGTACTTTAGAAGGCAAGATTCTTAGAATTTAAGACATTTAAAACGCATGTAGGGGCACCTGGGTGGCTCAGTCAGTTAAACGTCTGGCTCTTGATTTTGGCTCAGGTCGTGATCTCACGGTTCATGAGATTGAGCCCCATTTCGGGCTTTGCACTAATGGTGCAGAACCTGCTTGGGATTCTCTCTCCCTCTCTCTCCTCCCTCAAAATAAATAAACTTAAAAAAAAATTTTTTTAAAGCTAAAATGCATATAAAATTTTGATACCTCCTAAAAGGTATCAAACAATGAATTCCTAAACTTTTACCAACTCTATATGTTATGTGTATTGTAAATATTTTCTTCACCCTGCTGTTTTTACTTTGTTCACAGTGTCTTTTTCTTTATGAATGTTTTTATTTTCTTATAATCATATCTGTCATTTTTCCTTTATGGCTGTTAGGTTTTATCATGTCATACCTTCTCCAAACTAAGACTGTTAAATTATATTTTCTTCCATAAACGGTTTTAAAATTTCGTTTATCAGTAGTATTGCCATCTTAATGCATGATATAGAAATACATTTATTTTAATGCTTTTTTTTTTGTTTTGATTTACACTAGATGGCTATGAAAATGCTAGGCGTCTATGTGATTTGTATTATATTAATTCTCCTGAACTAGAACTTGAAGAACTAAATGGTAAGCCTGATGATATCTTTTTCTGAATGATTAGTGTTGTGATTTTCTGCGAAGGAATGATAAGAAGAATTTAGATTTGTTTTAATATAAAAGGACTTTTCATAAACTCTTTCATTGAATATGAAAGCCGAGGGAGAACAATCATGTTAAAAATATGTGTGTGTGTGTGTGTGCGCGCGTGTGCGCATGTGCATGTATGCGTGTATGTCTGTAATTAGTTGGATTCTGTCTGAAAAGCATTTTGGCTTCTTCCTCGTTTTGTTTATGTTCAATTGATAATGTTGATTCTTTCCTTATTTTTGTGGGTTTTCTTTTTGGTTAGTTTGGTTAGAAAAAAATGATGCCAAGAAAATTATATTTGACTTTTATATGCATTTCAATAATGTAGAATTGAAGAATTTAAGAATTCCACTTACTGAGTGGTAAATCATTTTTATTATTGAGGAAGTAAAAAGACTGGGGGTGTAAAGAGGAAAGAAAGATGCTGATCTGTTTGAGAATCTGTTAATCTCTGATGGTCTTTTCACCCTGACTAGTAGTGTGCCTTTTGGACAAAACAATTTCAGATATCTTGGAAGGAGATTGATAAGTTTCTCTGTGTTTCTGAGGGGTAGTGTAGTTTTGTAGGGGGAAAAACAGTTACTAAGTGAAGATGACCCTTTAAGAAGAATAAAATTAAGTAGGGTTTTTCTAAACTGTATTCTGGAACTTCTAGTGGGAGAGCAATAAAGAAGTTACTCAATTGAAAATAGAACTGCTTGGGGTTTCTAAAGCCATATTAACTTTTGTTTCATAACAATACCATTCAGTAAATGAGAATCACAATGCAGAGATGATATTTACACCTGAACTGCTGTGAGCATGTTCTAGGTGTCCCATCCATGTTTCCGTGGGGTGGTTTATTCAGAGGAGAGTCCAATTTATTGGGTCAGTTGGAATTCTAAGGTAGGGTGAGGCTTATTGCTTTGCTCTACTTTAAGTTCTGTTTTACATACAGCCTGCCCCCCTCACCACATCCCCAACTGGCCTTCTAAATTTAATAAAATGTTTGAATGTAGAATTCGTATCCCTTGATAAATTGATGCTAGCTTAATTTTTTTTTTAATTCAAATCTATATACATAGAAATGCCTGAAATAAAACAGAAAACATTCCACATGGGAGAAACATTCAAAAAATGACTTTTTAAAAAAAAGTATTTTTTTTTATATTTATGTGAGTTGGACCATGGAACTTACAGACTTTAATACTTGTTTTGGTACTCTGTATTTAAGAGTCTCTTATAGTTTGCCTTCCAGTGGGGGGTGGGGGAGAAGGGAAAATGGGTGATGTGAATTGAGGAGGGCACTTGTTAGGATGAGCACTGGGTGTTGTATGTAAGTGATGAACCCCGGGAATCTATCCCCAAAACCAAGAGCACACCTTACACACTGTATGTTAGCCAATTTGACAATAAATTACATTGAAAAAATTCTTGCTTTGGAAAGTAAAATTCTGGCCTAAAGGCTGAGTGTCCTTTAAAAAGACTCACCATCATAGAGGAAATAGGAAGCTGGGTTGGCTAGATTGTCATTCAGGGTCGCAAGAATGACTGCAAACTCATGTTGTCACTGTCATATGTGAATGTGGGGTCAAACACTAATATACTGAAGAACTGGGGTGACAGTTCTCTCCCAAATAATAGTGTCCTCCATAGTAAATGTTTTCTTTTCATCACTACACAATATATACTTTAAAATGCTTTAAGCACATCTCTCTGTACTTTTATATTTTTCTCTTCTGCTCTGTAGCAAAATCACCAGGACAGCCAATACAAGTGGTTTATGTACCATCCCATCTCTATCACATGGTGTTTGAACTTTTCAAGGTTTGTAAAATAGTATTACATAACCTTTATCAGTCCTTTTCTGAGGTTAGGGATCTGCTCTGAAAATTAAGTACTCTACCAGGTTTTCCTCAGTTTCATTAAAAGATGTCATTTCATGCTCAGTGTCACATCACGTTGCTGGAGATCAGCCTTTTGTCAACACTGATGGACATCTCAGTGTAGCAGTCAGCTCATACTGGGAAGTCAGAAAGACCTGGGCTTGAATTCCAGTTCTTGATACATATGTGACCATGGGAAAATCAGTCAACCTTTTTGAGCCTTAGTTTCCTCTTCTGTAAAATGAGGATAATACTACCCAGGTTATGATGATTGGGAATAGCATACTAAATGTCCAGTATAATGACAACTCATTATAGGTGCTCAATAAGCTATATTAATATTTTTTAAAAATGGAATATTTAGAAGAGTAATTTTCAATTTTCCACCCTTAAAAAACCAGAGTCCCACTATTATATGTTTTTTTTTCTTTGAAAAAGTCATTTATATTGACTTACAGGGCTTCTGCTATCATATTTGCTCCTTACAACAAATTTCAAAAGCTAAATAAAATGGGTCTAGTAATGTTGAGAGTACTCTTTTCCCAAATAACGCACCAATGGCAACTTGCTAATGGATAGAAAAGTGAGTGAGGAGAAGTGGTACAGGTCCCTGTGGCTAAAAATGACTGCCCTAAATCAAGCTGATAGTCTCTCTGACTTTAGTTAACATGTCTTCAGCCAGCAGCAAACTGCTAGAAGAGGTGGCTTTCAGCCTGACCATGAAAAAGAAAAATACACTGAAACACAGAAAATCTAACAATATCATAGAACAGCAGGAGTTCAAGAATGCTCTTTTGTTCTAGGACCTCAAGAACATATCTAATACCTTACAAAAATCTTTCTCAAAGTGGGAAAATAAATAAGCAATTGGCACTTCAAGGATTAAGATTAATTTTTTCCCTTAAGATTTCAGTTACATAAAGGTCTTATTCCCCATGATGCTTAATAAAATAAATTACCATATTATAAAACAGATTTTATATAATGTCAATAATAATGTCAATAATCTTAAGTAGCCTTTGGTAGAGATTATAGCATCCCCAGGGATACTCAATCCTGATGTGTATGTCAGGGCCACACACTCTGAATTTTTAGGAGTGTTTTTAAAAAATTTAGCTTAAAAATTTTTTAAATTCAGTCCCATCTTTTGCCTTTTTAACTGTATCTAGTTTTACCAATTTCTCCTCCATTGCTACATGTCATGTTATCTTTTAGCGCTCATAATATATTGGCATTGTGTACTGTGTATCCTTTAGGAACTGATCAAAACTAGAGATATTTACAATGTAAATCAAATTAGTGATGAATTGGATTAGTTTCTACATCATAAAACCATTGCTGTGAATACTATATGAAAAAATTTTTTCCTTAATTTATGGCAATTAAAATGATTCCTAAAAATAGAGACAAAACTCTTTTCAAAAAATAAGTTATTATCTACTAAACTATAAAAATATTTGGATAGAATTTTCAGCTTTAATGTAAACTATTTAAGTGTTGAGATGCCTGGTTTTGGAAAATATGCAACCTGGATTTGGTTGAAATCTTTAAGTCAAAGTATCTCACCAGTCGTCCAAAATGGACAATAATTTTTTGAAGTAATTCTGTAAATATAATTATAAGAATTATACTTTGGCATATTTCCAGCAAATTAAAAATTTTTTAATTTCAAATGGTGCCTATGTGTTTGAAAATCAGAATTAGTTTCTTCTTTTTTAAAGTTGTGTTTTGAACGGAACCCTAATGTATTTCAGAACGCGATGCGAGCGACTATGGAGCACCATGCTGACAAAGGTGTTTACCCTCCTGTTCAAGTCCACGTCACACTGGGTAACGAGGATTTGACTGTGAAGGTAAATGCTCCCTGGCATTGTTTTGTTTGTTTCGTTGATGTACAGGCATGCACATAATTTCTTGAAGACGTATTTATTCTTAGAAAGAGATCTTATCTCTAATAGCTAATAAGCACGTTGCTTCATTTATCTGGCAGATTATGGAATTATCCCATGAGTCTCTTTCTATTCTGGTCTGTAATCCAGATGATGCAAGTAAAAATAAATCCTGAAAACACAGTTTAGCAGTCATCATGAATATCTACTTTGATAAAGTATATATTTTTTTCTTTTAGAATTTAACATTTATTTATTTTTAAGACAGAGAGAGAGAGAGAGAGAGAGAGAGCGAGCATGAACAGGGGAGGGTCAGAGAAAGAGGGAGACACAGAATCTGAAACAGGCTCCAGGCTCTGAGCTGTCAGCACAGAGCCCGATGCGGGGCTCGAACCCACACACCGCGAGATCATGACCTGAACTGAAGTCGGACGCTTAACCGACTGAGCCACCCAGGCGCCCCTACTTTGATAAAATATTTGAGTGTTCGCAGTGTTACATAGATAGCATATAACTTTTCTTTTTTTTTTTTTTTTTTTTTTTTTTTTT